CTATCCAAGAGCATGGGAGATCTTTCCATTTTCTGGTATCTTCTCTAATTTCTTTCTGTAGATATTCAAAATTCTTATGGTACAAGTCTCTCACTTTTTTGGTTAGTGTTACCCCAAGGTATTTTATGTTGTTTGTGGCAATTGTAAAGGGTGATGTTTCTTTGATATCTTTCTCTACCATTGTGTCATCAGTATGTAGTAGGACTACAGATATTTTTGAGTTAATCGTGTATCCTACCACTCTGCTGAAGGTGTTTTTAAGGTGTAGGAGTTCCCTGGTAGAGTTTTTGGGTCACTTATGTAGACTATCACATCATCTGCAAATAGTGAGAGTTTGACTTCTTCCTTTCTGATTTGTATTCCCTTGATCTCCTTTTGTTGTCTTATTGCTCTAGCCAGATCTTAAGTACAATATTGAAGAGGTATGGAGAGAGTGGACAGCCTTGTCTTGTCCCATTTTTTAGGGGAATTTCATTGAGATTCTCTCCATTTAGTTTGATGTTGGCTGTAGGCTAGCTATATGTTGCTTTGATTATGGTAAGGTATGTTTGTGTTATCCCTGATCTCTCCAAGACCTTTATCATGAAGGGGTGTTGGATTTTGTCAAAGGCTTTTTCATAGTGAGATGATCATGTGTTTTTTTTCCTCAGTCTGTTTATATAGTGGATTACATTGATGGATTTTCATATGTTGAACCATCCTTGCATCCCTGGAATAATGTCTACTTGATCATGGTAGATGATTTCCCTGATGTGTTTTTGGATTCGATTTGCCAGGATTTTATTGAGAATTTTTGCATCAAAGTTCATGAGGAATATTGGTCTATAGTTCTCTTTCTTGGTTGTCTTTGTGTAGCTTGGGTATCAAGGTAATTGAAGCAAGATTTCTACCAAACTCTAGATGTACTCCCTCAGCCGAAAAAATGCTCAGACAGCATTCTTTTGTTAGGAATACTTCCTAGTACACTGAGTTTGGTCATCTGAAAGACTCCTAAAGACATGACATTGCTGACACCAAATATCTCCAATAGAAGAAATATTACCTTCAAGCAGTGAGAACCATGTCCTTGCCCATTGTCCATGGACGGATTTTCTACTTGTTGAAGAAACATCGCATGTAGTGCATGCGATCTATTTTGTCCTTTCCAATTGTCCATTGACTGAGTATCTACTTGTTGAATAACCATTTCATTCAGTGCATGGGCCAGAGCATACACAGCATTGTATATGTCATAAAGGCCATCACTAAAGGACATGTCGAAAGTCTGTACCACTAGCCATTCCATGGAGTTATTCATTAGTGTCTTATAGTTGGATGTGGAGGCTGCACAGTTGAAGCTCATCCAATCCATCGTTGCAAGGTACTCATCTGTGTATTTTATAGGATTCATTGTCTGGACAAAATTTTTAAAGCCAGAAATCTCACCATGATGGTGTGCAAATGCTAGAGTCATACAGTCCCCTCCCACTGTGAGGTGATGACCCATAATCTCTGTAAACCTCGGGATTCCCACATTTGAAAGCTCATAGCAAGAGTACTGTCTGAGTCACCATAAATGATAACAACATATGAACTTTGTTCTTAGCACTGCTTTCAAAGTGTCCCATAGGTTTGGATGTGATGTCTCCATTCTTAGCACTGCTTTCAAAGTGTCCCATAGGTTTGGATATGTTGTCTCCACATTCTCATTCAATTCTAGGAAATCATTAATTTCTTTTTTTTATTTCTTCCTGGACCCAGTAATTGTGCAATTGGGTGTTACTTAATTTCCATGAGTGTGTAGGTTTTTTGTAATTCATGTTGCTGTTGAATTCTAACTTTAAAGCATGGTGGTCTGATAAGACAGATGGGGTTATTTCAGTTTTTTAGTACTTGTTGAGCATATGTCTCTAAGTATTTGAAACATATCACTTTTACTCTCCAACTTTAAGAGTATTCTCAGATTGATGACTACCTTGATTATCATTCCTGGTGCCTTCATCCAGTAGCTGATCAAAGCAGAAAAGAAACACAAAGCTAAACACTGAGCCATGCTCCTGGAATCTAGTTCTGGAGAGGGAGCTGGAATGAGCAAAGGAGACAAGACCCTGCTGGAGAAACCCACAGAAAAAGTTGATCTGACCTATTAAGAGCGCTGAGACCCTAGTCTTAAAGCTGGGGATCCAGCATTGGACCAAAGCAAG